CTCGCGCTCAGACGAAATTAAAAATAAAACGACAACAGACGAGGGCATAAAGCCCAGAGAAATTGACAGTCCTCGTGGGTCATGAGCCACGACCGAATTCTCATTCTCGGACTCCCTCATACCGGACCCCAGAAAAATTCCCGCGACGAGGGTGTAAAATCAAGAATTAAAACGTCTTAATGGTCTGCATCTTTATGAACTCCGCACTGTCCTCGCCACCGAAGGGATGACTCCTGCTCTTGGTTCCTGAGTCCTGACCCATTATTTCTGGCTCTAGTTTGGCATTTTCCTTAGCATTCCGGCTGCTCTCTGATTTCGCCTTCTCACCCAGCTTCTGGTTTAGTTAATTTTCATGTAAATTAAGCAATCAAATGTTGGCTCTAATGTTGTTCAATTAACGCTTTTTTGTGTCTTTAAATTAATTTCAATTTGCTGAAATTTCACGAATTCTTTAAATACATTTTGGGCACAGGAAATTTTTAGAAAAATTGTTCAAATGGTTAATAGAAATATATTCTTTTATAACTGTTTTAGTGAAATTATTTACCGAAGTTTTTAATACAATTGAAAATATTTTTTTAATTTAATTTAAGGGACTGAAAAAATATTAACTGTACAATAAGCTCGTAGGTAAAAATGGATACCATTTATTTGTATTTTATCTAGATTCAAAACATATGTTAAATATTTTATAAATTGCACATTAAAACAGTATAAAATGTTTGATATATTTTATAGGCATATCTTATTTTTATGAATAATTATAAGAGTCAAGATATTTTATAAAGTACCTACACTTTTCCATTTTATTTCGATATAGCCTTCATTTGTATGGTAATTTGCTTGTTAATGAAGCAATTAACGCTTTCGGAACATTTATTTCAATTGCTATTTGAACTCTGACTATCAGATACACCTCCCTGAAAATGAGAGGCCGCCCAAACCCAGCCAATTTTGGCTTCTGTTTAGCGCTGCTGCAATTAACATATTTGCGCTTGAGACTTGAACCAATACGGCTATTGTAATCCCGCGACCAAAGGCATAGTCAAGTCGTGGGCCCACTTATCTGTATCTGAACAATCAGTTTGCAGTTGCTGTGTGTGTGTGAGCCCAAAAAAAAAGAACCCCGGGCTGCAGAAAAAAAAAGAGTGGGCGTGGCCGGGTGTACGAAGTAAGAAATTTGCAACTGCAGAAGCCAAGTGCAGTGGCTGCCACCGGGATCCCAGCTGCTCCACCCACTTTTGTGCCTAGGCAGCTTTGGTATAGAGGATATAGAGGAGGTTAACTAAAAAATTTTCGGGTATCTGGCTTGGGGGATCTGAGAGTGGGCACCCTGCCTCTCCAGACTTTTCAACTCCAGCTGGGCCAAGTTTGCATGCCAAAAATAAAATATAAAAAAATGAGAAAACTAAAACGAAAAAAGAGCAAACAAGTTGGCTCACTGGCTCGGCCTCAGCTCAGGCTCACTTGATTTACAACAGTCGCCACTTGGCCAAAAGTGCTGAGTTATGGGCCCGCTTTTTCGTGTGTGGGCGTCAATTACCAGCTCATAAATTGCCATCGATTTGGCAACTATTTCCCCTGCTCCGACATCTAATTGTTTATTAATCAACTCATTAATTAGTTGCTTTTTGCTCTGCCATTTGTTATTTTACTCCTGGTTTGGTTTTTATACCCGTTACTCGTAGAGTAAAAGGGTATACTAGATTCGTGCAAAAGTATGTAACAGCTAGAAGGAAGCGTTTCCGACCCCATAAAGTATATATATTCTTGATCAGGGTCACTAGCCGAGTCGATCTAGCCATGTCCGTCTGTCCGTCTGTCTGTCTGTCTGTCTGTCTGTCTGTCTGTCTGTCCGTCTGTCCGTCTGTCCGTCTGTATGAACGCTGAGATCTCAGAAACTACAAAAGCTAGAAGGTTGAGATTTCCCACACATATTCTTTGGCTTCCTACGCAGCGCAAGTTTATTTTAGCCGAGCGCCACGCCCCCTCTAACGCCCACAATCGCCCACTAACGATTTTAAAATGGGTCCTGCGCCCACATCTTTAAAGATTTCCGAGAAGTGTAAATGCAATTTTGTTATGTATATTTATACCTATCGAAATGTAGAAGACATTTTTCAAATCGGACCATTCATTAAAAAGTTATACGCAATCAAAAATTATATATCTATCTCCCTCGCACTCCCTTTAGCTGAGTTACGATTATTAGTCGGGACACCAACCCGACACAGCGTTCGCACTCCCTTTAGCTGAGTGACGGGTATTAGATGGTCGGGACAACAACCCGACTATAGCGTTCTCTCTTGTTTTCTGTTGCTTTGCTGTTGATTTGTCCGTTCGCCTCGATAATTTTAATTAATTTGCGCAAAATGTATTTTTCAATTGCATTTTTGATTAGTTTTCTCTGATTTGAACCTACATATTTGCACAAACAATCAACAAAATAATTAAATGCATTCAAGCATTTTTAATTGTTGTTTGCGCTAATTTTCGATACTTAGGCGTTGATGATTGGCGGAGTGGGCGTGGCGTGGTCGCCGTGGTAAATAGCCTGCATTATTCATGTGTTTTTGTCGTTCTTCGATGGCTGGGCCATTTGTCCTTTGGGCTATTTGTTAAAGCCCGGCTAAGTGGCGCGGCGGTTGGGCCGAAGTCAATATTAGAGGATCGAGGTAATGCGGAATATTTGTCTTGGGGGAGTTGTTACCCAAATGGACTTAAAAGTAAAGAAGTTGGGAAAACCATTTTATTAAAGGAATACAGTAAAATCGCTATTTACTTTTAGTTATTGTGTTTTAAGATTTTGTAAATATTAATATTAAAAACAATGTAATTCAAAGATCACTTTTAAAAATATTTTAATGGTTTTTATGTGTTCCCCTTTTTTTAAATATCTGTTAATATGAATAAATTACTAAACTACGACTAAACTAAACTCTACTTAAATTAAAGTATTATTACTATGAAGTACCATACAAACCTAATTAGAAAGACATTTTTTTAAAACAAATCTAAGGACCTTAGAAATAGTTTATAAATAGATTTTGGACATTTTAAGAATATTCCATCCAGCAACAAAACACTAAACAACTTTTTATCAAGTCAAACATATTCATTGGATTCCTGAGCTACAAAAAAATGCCACCGACATCCATTTGAAGTTTTTCATTTGGGCCCGGCGACAACGCGTGTGGTGACAACCCAATCAAGGCTGAAATGTATCTGTTGGGGCACCCCGCGAACCCACTTCACTTTAGATCTGCAACTGCATATTTTGTTTGACATCATTGTTGCACATGCCACGTGCTGTTGGTGTTCCGTTGCACCTGCAACATTCGCAACATTGCGGAAAAACGCCCCAAAAAGGCGGCAACGTGCAACAGTAAGGCCTTGCAAAAAATGCAGCCAGCTGCATGTGCGTGCATAAATTTACAGCAGCTGGTTGTTCGGTTGTTTGGTTGTTTCGTTGTTTGCCGTGGCTGTTTGCATCCAGCAATGAAGACATGACACCGACAGAGAACGAGGACACCGCCTGCAATTGCAATACTCCACTGCCCTTCAGGTGCAGCCAGCACTCAAAGAATGAAATAAACTGAAAAATGGGCAAGGGACTTATTACATTTAAGACAGAAAGAGAAAAAGCTATTTAAAGTAGTAAAAAGAAAATATACATTTTCAAAATTCCTATAATACAAAAGTTTACAAGTTTAAATTAAACAAAGTTAGAAGTCATATTATAAATATATTACAAGTTTAAATTAGATATTTTCTTAATCAGGAATTAAAATCTTACTTATCCAGATTTTTATTAAAATACACAAGTTTCAAAACTGGCATATAAAATATTCCATTTCTACAAAAAAAAGTGTTCGGCATTGTTTTATTATTTAAGATAATTTTATTATGTCGATATTCCGCGCGTACTATTTCGATTAACCCCCTAATTAACTATATTGCCTTAGCGACTTGGTCATAAATCGAAATAAATAACTTAGGACAAATGTTGTTATTCCCGCCTGTGTTGTTCGATGATTTCCCATTGTTAGATGGACAATTCCGGCGGCAACAATTATGCGGAGCATTTGAGCAAACGCAAACCGAAAAGCTGAAAAGGACCATCTAATGCAAACAATAGTTGAATGTTTGCCAGCCATTTCATAGTTTCACTTATGACAGACAGCCCGAAAGGAGCAAACACGGGGGGAAATAAAATCGGGGTGTGGGTAAACAGCCAGCAAAAAGGATATCGCGTGCCAACAAAAAATCACCATGTAAACACACATCGCACACAAAAGGCGCGATATGGGAGAAGAAAGCTTTCAGGACTCTCGACCAGCTATATATCTCCCCTGTCCTTTCACACCCACCCATCTAACCATTTCGAAAGCCAAAGCTACACATGTGTACAATAGTCGCCTTTCGCCTTCGGGTTCCAGGATCCTGTTGTTCCTGCTCTGTTTTGTTTTGTTTTATTGTGATTTTTATGCCAGTCGTTCTGTTTTGGCATTTTTGGCAAATATTAGTTCCATACTCCTGCCATCCTGACTATGGAGCAAATGGAATGCTATTGTGTGTCGTTTGGTTTTCTGCAGGGCTAATAGCTGTGATTGCAGGGAGATATTCACTGATGTTTGGGGAGTTATTTGATAGTTACACTGGTATTATTAGGAATACAAATGGATGTCTGAAATTCTAGAAGATTAATTTATTTTAAAGTATCTGCGACATTTATTATTAAAATTATTTTGTTTTGTTTGTCTAATATTTTTGTTTATATAAATTAAAGTTCTCCAAATGGTCTACTTTGAACCGTAATCGAAGGTGTTTATTTAAAATAAAAAGTCAGATTCATATACGTTTATTCTTTTATTTAAAACCTTTTAAAAAATAGTTCAAACTTATTGAAAGATCTGCATTATAAGAATTAATTGAAATTGAACAAAAGTCAAAATTGCATAAAAGTCGAAACATTAAGAAAGATTAAACACCTTGCTCTCTTTGCTTACTCTAATTTCAGTTTATTTTAATCTCATTATAGTTGTAGATATAAACCATTCATAAATCCACATACTAGTTAGTACTGATGCGTAAAATCCCAGTGAAGCGTTCGGAGCCCCTAGAGTTGTTCTTCCTTCTCGGGATCTGCGAAGTGAAAGATTATTAATTTATATACGTTTTCGGTAAGCTTGTTGAGTGAGTCAATTATACATAAGTTAAAGTCGCTGCAGCTCATGCAAGCCAGACACAATAATTACCAGACATTTATATTAAGTTTAATTGCATACGTGTAGCAAGTACGAGCTGCGAGCTGCCATCCAATATGTATGCAATATGTAAAGCGTTTTATGATTTATGCAACCCCACGAGCTCCTCAAACCCAGAAACAAAATCAACAAATCATTTTTCTGGCCAACGCTGACAGCTGCAATTTTTCACTGCTACCAAACTGCGAGCCTCTGGAAGTCATGCAACATTTAACGGGGTCCAAAGTGAAGTCCAACTTTAAAGTATCCCCTAGTCCAGCCGCCGTATAATTCCCGATTGAAAGCCACCCCGAAAATGTGAGCGCACACAGACTCCCCCAAGTTCCTAAACCGAATCAATTAAATTCAATTAAATTCGAAAAACCACAAGCCAAGTGCATTGCCCCAGTGCAAGTGGAAGTGCAAGTGCCTGATACGAGGACACAAGGATATCCCCATTGTTTAGCTCCGAGTCCCATTTCCCATTCTCACCCACTCCACCAGCTTAGCTGTCAATCTTATTCTAATCAGGCTCCCAACACAAATTGCCTACGACTCTCGAGTTTCGCCTCACAAATTGACTTTTACACATAAACAATTGAAATTCTACCGAGATTTCCGGCTGGGACTTAACCTTACCTTAACCCCCCCACTTGACCCCCTTTCTGTGGTGCAAAATCAACAAGTTAACTGCACTGCCGCCTGTCATTCAAATGGAGATTGCGAATTGACCCCCCAGGGGACTGTATGCCATTCTGTGTTTGGTTTCTCACTGTCTAATTGACTTGTGAATGGAGCTCGGAATTCGATTTGCCTCAGGTGTGGGGTCATTGAAAATCCGAAGGAAAAGTCCAGGCACTGAAATTTGAAATGCAGGGGCTTAAATGGGATTTTTCCTAAAGCCAATTACGGTTGTGGTAAATATGCACAGAAAATCGAAATAATACTTTTACTTATTTACAGAAGCTTAAAGAATTTTAAAGCACGTTTAGACATTTCACTTATAGCTTTGTTTAATTTAATATAATTTTTATTTAATGTTTTTTTTTTAACTTTTTATAATAATAAATAAATTTTTTTAATTAAATATTACACAGGCCAACAGTGTTTTTGGTGCAGCCCTATGGGCATTAAATTGTGTTAATATAGACGGATATAAGCATATCTGCATACTTAGTTTTCGAGATTAACGGGTGGTATTTGTGCAAACGCGGTTTGAAAAAAGTAGCAACATTTTATATTTTCATTTAAGATATCTTCGAGGGTCTGTGCTCAGTTGTAATAAAACCTATGCCAAAAAATTGCTTAGATGCCCTTCTACATAATTGCATTTAAGGTTCCATCATTATTTGAGTTAATAAAAGCCTATGAGCCATTGAAGTAATTTGTTCACCTCTATTTACAACCAACTTGATGCGGTGAACAGGCTTAAACAAATACAAGGAAAAATATGTGCCCTAAAATATTTTACATGCATCTAGAGGCGTCTTTTCCCGAATTTTTGAGATAAATCCCACTATTGTACTTCGAAAAATGGAATTTATAGAATTTTTTCCGTAAGAATGGGAAAAGTAACAAGTATTTTAGAGTCACTCTTACGTAACGAGTTTGTCGTGATTTTACACAGTAGGCTTTTTAAAGATAACAGTGGCGTCGCCTTAAAATTGTGGTGGGGATTTTTTTTAAGGCATATTAACCCCTTAAAAATATAATTTGTCTATGTTCGGCGCCTACTGCTAACCAAATTGAAAGGCAAATTTTTACGAATGTGTCAGATATTTATGTAAAATGAGATTTAAAAATAGTTGTTACTTTTTAAGTTCTTACGGAAAAAATTCTATAAATTCCATCCTTCGACGTACAATGGTCTTATTTGTCTTAAAAATTCGGTGAAAGACGCCTCTAGATGCCTGTAAAATATTTTAGGGCATATATTTTTCCTTGTATTTTTTTAAGCGTGTTCACCGCATCAAGTTGGTTGGGAATAGAGGTGAACAAATTACTTCAATGGCTCATAGGCTGTGATTGACTCACATTATGATGGAACCTTAAGTGCAATAATGTAGAAGGGCATCTAAGCAATTTTTTGGCATTGGTATTATTACAACTGAGCACAGACCCTTGAAGATATCTTAAATCAAAAAATTAAATGTTGCTATTTTTTTCAAACCGCCATTGCCCAAATACCACCCGTTAAACGCGAAATCTAAGTATGCAGATATGCTTATATACGTCTATATTAACATGTTTTAAGGCCAATAGGCCTGCACCTTTTAATAAAGTCCATTTTGTTGACCTGTGTTATTTAATATTATAAATGTTTCAAAAAGGAATTTTCAACGAAGCTTATATTTCCTACAACTTTTTAAACCTTCTACCGCGTCGTGTTAACCTTTTCCAACCCAAACATTTTTCGCATTCTCTTGACTCACAATTTTTGCATAATATTTTCTTTGGCCCCCTGGCGCTCTCGTTATCATTCCCTTAATTAATTAAAAAAGTTGTTGCACCTTTTTCGGGCTCTCTTTTATTTTTTGGCGCAAAAAATGTGCAAAATTTTTATTTCGCACATGCGAAATTAGCGCTGCCGGGCCACATGCCTTGTTAAAATATTTGCAAATATTTAAATTGACATTTTTCCGTCATGTTATGACTATGAACAATGTCAATTTAGCTGGGATGCCTTGAAGGCCCAAAGGTTTTTTATACCCTGCTCTCTCCTTGTTGGTATGCCCTTGTTTTGTGGGTTTAATACTCCGGGAGGAGAACACTTTAAGCTGCATTTGCAAAATGCCCGCACACACATCGGGCAACTAATCAAAACAAATTCAATTAAACGACACACGACAAGCCACGGCTCGTATGGGATCATCCAAGTTGCGCTGGGTCCCCTCTCTATAAGCACGGATATACGGAGTATCCCCGACTCCTTTGGCTCTTATCTGGCAGCACAATCCATTAAAATTGCACATCGTTTACACCAAAAATCAATTCGCCAAAGCATTTAGGCATTACAAATGCCAAGCCAGCCACTGGAGCTAGTCGGCGCGGGTCCGCAGTCCAGGTTTTTCGGGATCGGGATCCCAATCCCGCTTCAAACCGAACGTTGATGCCCATAAATTTCGCATACGGTCCTCACTCTTTTCCCCCTGTTTGTTTTCTGGCCCCACACTCTCGGGGAGTCTGAGTTCGCTGAGCTACCAGGCGATAAACGCAGGCCAGTTGGCATTGCTTTGAAATGTATCCGCCAGATACGAGTAGTACAAAAGCTGCATTTGTGGAGAGCCAGTCGCAGTCTGGGGCCAAGTGGCTGTCCAGTTGTTGTCGCTGGTCAGTTAAGGGACAGTGGTGTACTCGTTGAATAATTTCAAGGAGGGTACGAAGCTAAATACCTCTTATATATGCTTTAAATCCACTGTACTATCATTTATTTAGATTTTTTTTTAGATTTTGAAATACCTCCTTTACAACGGCTCTGGTTGTACGCTATTCTAGAGTAGTGTGAAAAAATATTGAGTAAATTAGTTTGGCTAGTGGATGCTGTAAGAAATGTTTGGGGGCTCCATTAATAAGCCAGGCGTTAAGGAAAAAGATTTAATAAGAAAATGGTATACCTTAATATTTACTTTGTATAATTAAAATTTATTATAGGCATTTTATATGAAATTTTAATGTTTTCAAAGTAAAAATTTAAAAAAATCATTTAGAAATTTAAATTACAAAAATATAAATATAAATTCCACCTCAGAAAAAAATCCCATCTCTAGAACGTCAATAGTCCTGCTATTTTAGACCCTCGGCATATGTCAGTGTCACCTCATGCCCGACAAATTATGTCTATCGGAAACACAGAAAGCCAAAAAAAAAAGAAGGAACCCATAAAGAAACCCAAATCCAATGTCGTGTATCAACGGCAGCACAAATGCATGTGGATCGCCGTTGTCGTTTTGGAGTTCGGTGGCGTCCAAAGTGGCCAGTGGTTCGGTTCACTTCGATTCGATTCCAGTGGTGTCAGTTTGTCGTGCGTTTTATTAGTGGCAACTCAAACAGCAAATTGAGATTAGAAGCCCGCCGACGACTGACTGAGTAAGTGAGCCCATGAGTTATGGCCTGCATTAAAGCGCATCAAAGTGAGTTCAGAAAAGTGTAAAAAATATACATAGTAAGGGAACCCGATCCCAAAGTGCCACCCATTAGGGTTTTAAAATGGGTGACAACTGAGAAAGGGAGTTACAGAACTAAGATAAACTTAAAGTCCTTAAACATATTCTTAAATATCAAAATATGAAAAACTCCATTCGCGTTCCCCTTATTGAGATAGGAAACATTTCAATTGGATTATTTTAAGCACCCATTTAGATCGCTTAGAGGTCCTTATGCCACCCCAAAGGACTCCTTTTCCATTTATAGAAATTTACATTTGATTGCTGTTCAATCTACTTTCATCGCTGGCGACCCACAGAGTTCAACATGTGATATCCTTGACATTTATGAGTTGTCGGCTCAGTGGGACCCCCTCTCCCCTATCCCAAGTTACATGTTAGATCAACAATAAGAAATGTCAGATGTAATTTGCATAACACTGAAACATTTGCTCATGACTTTCTGTTACTTCCCTGTTGCTTCCGTCAGTCACTGGATTTTTTTTTGATTTTTTTCTTTATCATAAATGATAGCAATCTGAAATGTTTTTCGCTTTCCCCCTCGCAACCCGCATAATTCACTTGGTTTTCCTCATCCGACTTTCACTTGCAATCCATTCCAGCCCTCCGAAAAACGGGAAAAGTAAAGGAAGAGAACATTAGGCCTTATTACATTTGACATGTTGCTCCCTGCGAAAAAGTTTTCTTTCATTTTCGTAGCGACCCACCCCTTGGCTACAAATCAAAAGATAAATTGTTTTCCTTTATGATTTATATATAAAAATGTTTTGTTGACTTCGCACCAACCTACAAACTTTTCTTCCTTTCCTTATCATCGGCGGCGTTGAAAGCGAGCTACAAATATTAATATTGTTTGTATTTCATGCGCTTTCTTCTGCTTTTTATTTCGTTTTCAATTTGGCAAAGGGAAGTCGCATGTCAAATTTAATATAAATTATTTGCAAAAATCACTGGAATGAGGATAAAAGTTGTATCTTCGGATTACTTACATTCCTTCGCCTTTTTCCAAGAGTGTGTGGGCATGGCCTTCAGTTTATTCTCGTAGGCCTTTTTGGCCAGCACATCCTTGGCCTTCGGAGTCGGCTTGTTGCAGTTCTCCGAGTCGGCGAAATGGTCCAGATACTCATCTCGCTTGCAGTAGATGCACACCCCGTAGATATACTCCTCCTCGCAGATGGTGGCATTTGTGGATCGAGCCCAGTCGGCATTATTTTTGGCCGCCTTAAAGAGTTTGCCCACGTAAATATGGGCAGTTGGTATGGGGGTGAAGGCATTTAGGGCGATTGTGGTTATCGGATTGTGCTCCAAATTCAGCACCTGTAGGTTCTTTAACTTGTCAAAGAGACCGCTAAAAGGGTAATTTTGGTTGGGATTTTATTTATTATTTTATAAAAAAGTCTAACAAAACTAGTAATAATTTAATTTAGCATAAGAAAATAAAATAGTTACACAGAGAGAATTGTGACGTTTTCGTCTGAGTTGATAATTTTGTTAGTATGCTTGAATCAAGTTGAATTGGCGGTATTTAAGATATTTATTCTCAGTTTAAGAACGATGTGCTCTTATTGTTCTTTCTTTGTCAAAACATGATTATTAAATATTTAATAAAGATTTTAACTCACCTCTGAATGCGATCCAAGTTGTTGAATGCCAAGTGTATTTCCAAAAGCAGTGGAGTGTTACGAAACAGCTGATCGGGCAGCCGGGCAATATTGTTCCTCTCCAATCTCAGGGTGAGTAGTTTCTTCTGCACCTTGAAGAAGTCCTTGCTTAGGTAACTGATGTTACTTCTGATACCAATGTAGGCCAACTGTTCGGACATCCAGAACAACTCGGTGGGCACATTGTCGCCGCAGTTGAACAGCTCGATCGACTGAAGATCGGTCATGTGCCAAAGTTCCTGCGGTCCAAAGGCAGACATTTCCACACTGCTATTCTTGGCGTCGCAATCGATCATCAGGTGCTTTAGTTTCGACTGCTTGGCGAATATATCCCCGGATACTTTGCCCAGATTTTTGACCACAATTTCCAGATGTGTTAGGTTCTTTAGATTATGCAGAATTGTGCCGGGCAAATCGCTGCTTCCTTTTAGAGAGAGTTGTTTGAGGGCCGGCAGGTTTTCCAGAAAATTCTCCGGCAACGTGGACTTGAAGCCAATGATAGAGATTTTTTTAAGACCCTCATGATCTGTGTAATGCTGCTGCAGAACCTCTCCGCGATCGGTTTTCTTGGGATCGAAATAGTTGAAGATCTCCAGTTCGGTGTAGTTGCTAACACCCAGTTTGCTGAGAAGGTACTTGATACTCTGGGCATTTGGTATGGCGCAGTTCTGTACGATCAGGGATCCAATGTTGCCCACTTGAAGAGGCGGAATATACCCGTATCCTCTGGCATCGAAGATGCTGCATCCAATACCATATAGCTGCTGATTATCACTGTGCAACTGGAGGTTTTCGCACTTGATCTCCTGATCCTGGCACTCGCAGAGATTCGGCTCCTTGACCAGGGCCTCGCAGCCTGCCTTGGTCACATAACTATTGTTGATCACTGTGGCATTCTCCTGCCACGAGGGCGAAATTAAGGCCAGCAAAGGCAGTAGCAACCACATCCTGAGGCTAAACTTCCGAGCAGACTGATCGCTGTAAGGCAAAGGCAGAGGATTTTTTATAATTAGTTTAGTTTACGATACAACAGCTGCACCCAAAGGCAGCAGCATCGCTACTTTACAATCATATATCTTTCTCTTTCGGTCTGGATTTCCTACAGGTAGCACGCATTTCCCTGGAAGCTGCTGCGTTTTCCTTCTAGCCAAAGACACCGCCCCCCATTTTACACCCAGAGGCCGGCTGCCATTTTTGCACACAAATTTGATTACCCAGGTAAACCCCTCGCAGACTTTCTCGCTTTTCGCTTTACCTGTTCGCTTAATGGCCCATAATTTACTACGCAACTCGCCCGATTTGTGCATAATATTAAACCATTTTGAATTCGCCTTGCAACTCAAAACTCAAAAACATCGTACGCAGCAAAAAAAAAAACTGCAAACAAAATGACTTAAATAGCCATTTGCGTTGCCTTCGGAGGAGTTTTGTTTTTTCTTTTAGTTTTCGAGAACTCAGGGGGTTTTTGGGGAGTGTGAGATGATCTGTATGTAAATGCAGCGGCCAGAATCCAAAAGAGTGGGTCTGATAACAGTTGAAAATGCGCGATTTTGCATACGAATCGCAGTCCAAAGATGAAGAAGCGAATGGAAGCGATCTGGGAAAGACTGCAAAAAATTGCACAGTGGTTTGGGCATTGTAGGAAAGTGTATTGGCAAAAAATCACTTAGTTACATAAGATTGAGAAATAATTTCGATAATGGTGAAAAAAAGGTATTTAAATGGTATGGTATTAAAATGAATAATATTTACAATTAATTGAATGTGCAAGGAAAAACTAAGTTACTTTCTTAAGCACACACAAAAAAATTTGCTTGGTAAAATTGACCAACAAAGATAGTTACGTAACTATTAAAATAGTTACGTGTATTTTGTTTTTGCTTTGGGTTTGTGTCTTTGCTAATTGTGTGTATTTTGTTGTTGTGAAATGACTATTTACTTAGTAGAATTGACAATTTTGCTGGTTGGGGCCTGTTTGACAATTATTACAGTTGATTTTACCAAGTTTTTTTTTGTGTGCAAATAAGCATTATTAGAGATTTTTTTGATAAATTTAAACGAAAATCAAATTAGAATTTTTTTCTTATTTAAAGAGGCGTTTAAAAAAAATGTTCTGAAAAGTTTCTCAGTTCTATACTTGTAAATTTCAACCCACTGTAACTCATACCCAAGTTTATTCCTATCGGACTCTTTCCACCTCGTCCTCAACCTCAACCTTATCCCCAACCACTTTAAACATCCTGAAGTGCAATTTCAGTCTGGCATGCTGTTGATCTTATATCTTATGCTCAAAACTGGGACTCGGACTGGCTGCTTCTGCTCGATTCCGAACAAATTACAATTCATTCTGGTTTTCAGTTTCATTACAAATGCAAAAATGCAAAATGGCAAGCCGGCCATTATCTCAGAGACCCAGGATGGTATGGTATAGGATGGGATGGAATCGAATGGGATGGGAAGTCTGTCTGTCTGTTGATCGATGATCGCTGTGGCCGCCGATGATCAAGTTTTGTGTATCGTTTGAGGCGTACATGCGTAAGTGCCTTCGATCCCCGCACCCCCCTCAGCGATCGGTCCTCCTCCTGCCTCCCGGAGCAGTTGCATTCACAGATCGGGGCCAATGCATTTGAATTTGTCTGGCCGGCAGCCAAATCGATCGACAACCAATCAGCCCCAGTCCAGTTCGGTCAGCCATCATGCCAGTTTGCACAGTCTGCTCATGTGCACACAGAGAATTTTTTTATTTATTTCAATTTAAATAAGAACTGCAAACTTATGGTGAAACTTAAAATATAAAGAAATATTTAGGGAAAAATCAGACGCATAAAGTCTTCAGAAAAAACCTCCACAAATATTGATGTAATTTCGGTTCTTTGAGTTCAATTTAATACAATGCTATTTGAAAAGAAAATTGTAAATAAATAATATTATTTTTCCTATTGAATTTATTCTTAATAATTTGAATTTAATTTTTATTTAAGAACTTAGTCTAGAACTAAAGAACAGTGTTCTTTTTTTAGCTGCTGCTTCTGCTGCTGGCAGTGGCAAACATTTCATTTTTCACGATCCACGAACAGTCTCTCGTATTCCCAAGAGCTAAATCAATAAATTACGTGACAGGCATGCAGAAAACCTGATGCCTCCAACTTGGCGTTGGCTTTAGCTTCAAGTCCACTTCTTGATCGCCGTTTGCGTTTTGCTTCGTTTTGATTGAATCAATCAAAAACTTGTGCATTTATATGAAAAATATTAAGAAGTTGGGACGGTAAGAAAAATGAAGAATGAATACCCTGAAGTGAATGAAAAAATTAGTATAATATTTAAATTGCAGATTGGGGCTGAAAGATTTTAAATAAAAGTTATCTACAGCATGTAAAAAAAGGCGTTTAAATTAAAAGTTAAGTAATACAAAAAATACAATACATATTTTTTGCTTAACAAAATATTCTTTATAATAATTATACATTTATCTATTTCATTCAATAACGCATTCATTCAACGCATTCTAAATAAACTGCAATATTTTTAAAACGTTCGTTAAAATGTTTAACCCGCTTTAGATATAGGGTATATATAAAATGTCGGTGGGCATGGATCATACATACAATATATCGGTTGCAGATCTTCTGGCGCTGCCATAACATAAATTATTATTATGTCTTGCCCAATGGCTGCACCAGAGATATTTCAGTTCTCCTCCCTCTGCCACCGAGCTAAGTTCGCATTAAATTTGATTGGTTTTCATTTGTTGCGAGCAGGAAATGCTCAATAAAGTTCTTAACTCGGTTTAATTAACTTTGACAAATTGAAGTCGGGTCGGTGGAAAATGTTCTTCGAAAAATAATCAAATTAAAAAGCCAAGTAGAAGTCATTCTTCCATTTGCCAATGCTGCTCCTTCAATTAGTAATAAATAATTTGAGTTGGTTGAAAAGTTTTGCTCGAGCTAAGCGATGCATAATCCATGAAAGGGCAGCAGCAAAGTTCAGGAAGCCAAGGACTCGTCCCCAGAAATCCTCAGAAAGTGGAAACCAAACTGGTGCAGGTTACTCCAACTCTTTCTGTTAATACCGCTCCATTGTGCGGTGAAATCTTCATTGATTTTGATTTCTTGTGCCGAGGAAAATCGCCTTAGGCCGAAACTTTCGCCCCACCACCACTGCCACAAGAGTATTTACCATTTTCAGGACGGACAGGCAAATAAATGGTCATAATCCTGGCCAGACAATGGCTACTGTTCCTTGTTCCTGCTGCTGCTCCACCTTAAACCATAACTCATGTCTGTGCTATTTTTGGGGGGTGTTCTCGAGTCTTTTATGCGTTTATGCCTTACATTTGATTTATTCCACATGCAAATTGCGGTATACAAAAATTAAGTTGTTGGAAATGTTTTATTCCGAGAAACGTTTTGCGTCTCGCCGCGACTAAATAATAATTCGGCTCAAATTCAAATGCGCACGTTTCACAAAGAAAACAGAGCAGAAAAAAGTCATAACATAGCTCAAGGCGCCCCAAATCGTGAGTTTCTTATATAGATGATGGGGGTAGAACTCACCCCTTCCCGAGCAACGAAACTCCTTTTATATCCCGGGGCACAACCCGCTCTTACAAATAAATGCATGAAATTGAATACTACAGAAGGCTCAATAGAGAAAATTTTTGACAGAGAAACAATCTCTATTTGGTATTGTAGTTCCATTCTATAGCTCGGTGTTCTGTTTATTTATGTGTTTGCGCCTATTTATTTATTTTAATTAAAAGGGGCACGTGTTGCTGTTTTCTTGTTTTCTTTTTGCCACGGCAACATTGCGCCCCGAGAAATTGGTGATGGGAAAAAGCGAAGGGCTGGGGGTTGTAAGGTGTGGTTTTTCCTGGGGAGTGGGTGGGAACGGGTTGTGGCAAGTGCAATCTAGAGATGTATCAATGACAACCCTGAAATTTCATCAAAAATTAATAAGGCTTTCGGAAAAAGACAGAAGTAAATAAAATATTAATTTACTTTTTATTTCCCTACACTCAAAATAAATTTAACCCTAAATTTTAGAAAATCGCCATTAAAATTTCTTTTTTCTAAATACAAGAAAGTTATTTCTAAATCTAAGGAAATTTTTCTTAAGTCAAGAAAGTTTTCCTTAAATCCAGGAAGTTTTTCTTAAATGTAGAAAATGGTTACCATGAACTAAAATCACCCTAAAATCTAGAAAAAATGCCCTTAAAATTAGAAATTATTTTCTGAAAAATAGAAAGGCAAACGAAAATAATAAAATATTTTGGCAACACCCTTTCTAAAAATTAGTGCCCTAACCCTAAAATGAAACCAACCCTAAATAATAGAAACATTTTCTAAAAAGTAGAAATTTTTTCTAAAAAATAGAAATATTTGTTTTCACATGCTCTGGCACACCAAAATGTTCAATGCCAGAACTTGTCAGCTGCCGGCCGGCTGTACTCGTGGCGCAGACCGTTAAAGCACTTGGTTAGCAATCGAATCGACGCGGGTTCGAGTCCCAGAGCAAAATTTTTTAACCTCTTTTTTTTATGTTATGTTATTTTATTTTTTTTTATTTGTTTTATTTTTTTTTCTTTTTATTTATTTTTTTACTTTTTTTATTCCTTTTTTTATTGATGGCAAGCGGTAAACTAAAAATAATTAGGTTTATATTCAGCTATTTACTATATACTACACATAATATAAATTGCGTTAGCATAAATATATACATATGTATATACGTATGTAAATAAGTAAAACGCGAATGGTCAAAATTATGCAATTAGTATTCAAATGTGTTGTCCGCTTCACCCTTTACATACAATGCTCGGTTTGCCACAGCAAGTTTAAGTGCTACAATGGCCCAGTATGTAGGCCGTTCGCTCCTCGCGCGGGATACCCGGGTTCGATTCTCACGACGGACAAGTAAAAATTGTAAGTTTTTTTCATGAATATAAAATATTAACTAATCATAATTTCTACATTCCAAAT